AGGAGCCCCCTTGGCAGAACTGAGCCGGGCTGGAGCTCTGCGGGGCTGAGACCAAGTGCGAAGATCACCTTTCGTGTGTGTCTGGGCAGGCAGCGCGGTGTGGGACGTGGCACTGAGCTGGCTCCGGGACCAGGACCAGGGCTGTGAGGACTTTGGAAACCACCTTGTTCAAGGACTGGGGGAGCAGCGGCTTTCCTGGGGTCCCTGCGCAGACAAAGCACCAGGGCCACCTCACCGCACAGCAGCAATCTCAGAGCCTGGCTGTCGATCCCACCTTCCTGGTGTGACTTCTGCCCCTTCCCAGGCTTGCTCCGGGGTAGCAGTCGTTCTCCCTTCGGGCACAAGAGGGCAGACACTTGCCACGTTGGAGCGAGGAGCAGCCGGCTTCTCCCAGTAAGGTCCTCTGGGTCTCTGCAGCCGCTGCCGACAAGCCAGCAGAGGTCTGGCCGTCACAGAAGTGCTCCCGCAGGAGTCGGAGCGCGGCCGCTGACTTGCCTGTTGAGCTCTAGCCCAAGTCACTGCGTTCCCCGGGCTTTGTGCCTTGGGAAGTGTGCTCTGGCCTTGTGAGTGATATTAAAGGCAAGTGTGTAAATTATAAAGTCACACCTCCTGCACACACACACACACACTCACTCCTGTCTCCTGATTTCATGCGCTGCATGTGTTGGACAGGAGTGCCCAAGCCGGAGAGGCGCTGGGTTCTGAATTCTCCGGTGATTGAAGCCGGGCTGTGTCTCCTTTGGAGGGAACTGAGCTCTTGAGCTATCACGATACCTACTTTTCAAGCTGAAGAGACACTTCCTGTGCGGGGGTGACGCGCCATCTGCCCTCGAGGCTGTGAAGTCCCATGTTTAGGTCAAGAACTACTGTGGGTCACAGAAGGAGGCAGTGATAACGTCCACGTTGGGGCCTCCAAGCCTGTTAGTGGTCACATGGCCAGGACAGGCAGAAAAGACAGGCCAGGCGCTTGAAGAACCCGCTGTGATTTTCTCAGGACGAGGGGCCCGGAGGCAGGACAAGGGGCCCTGAGACAGGAGAAGGGGTCCTGAGACAGGACGTAGTGCTCTGATATGAACCTGGGCCAGCTTCCGAGTACCACAGACTAGGAGAATGAGAAGGCAGTGAGCAGGTGAGCAGGAGCCAGAGAACTTTGCAGAAGCTGTGTCGGGAGGAGCAGATAGAAACCAAGATGTGGAGGCGGGACAAGAAGCCTGTGCCAGTGAGGCAGCACCGCTGGGGTCTCCTTCAGCACAAGGGTGCAGTCATGAGGAAAGGCCTCACCCTGACAGCAAAGGAGCTCGGGCATCGCCACAGAGGGCAGGAAGCTCCTCACACTGGACATCTCAAGACAGGCGACGTCTGCAGGAAGGGGCAGCCATCATGGTCTCTCCCTACCTGCCTTCTGCCTTGGCACTCTGCTTCCTGTCTGCCCTGCAGTGAGCGGCTTTCCTCCGCCAGGCCCTATGCCAGGCCATCCTGCTTTGGAGAGAGGACTAAATGACAGCAAACTAAAATGTGAGCCACGCCAGTTGTGGTGGTACACACCTGTAATCCCAGCACTTGGGAGGCTGAGGCAGGAGGATTGCTGTGAGTTCGAGGCCAGCCTGGGCTACAAAGTGAGCTTGAGGCCAGCCTGAACTGCAGAGCGGGACACTGTCCCAAGAAGACAAAACAACAATAACAACAACAACAAAAATGTGAGCCAAGAGACCGTTCTCCTTCCTTAAATTGTGGGTGTCAGGTATTCTGTCCCAGCAACGAGAGAAGTATAAGATGGGTGGCCCTGGACGGAACCTCTGCTTCCATTATTATGGTTATTCTTCTCCTAGGGGAAACGGTGGGAATAACATATAGCAGAAGCCCCCTGGCATAGCCAGCATAAAACCAATCTTGTATTCTAGTTGAAATAGTCCTTGGATGTCACTAATTTTTTTACTACACTGGTGAATTTTCTTTATTCTTTAAAAAAGATAATTCAAAAATTGTGTACTTTTCCCCAGCATCCTTTTGAAGAACCTTCACCGCGGTGAAAAGGAGAGAGGCTGCAACCCAGCCTGCCAATGCCCTGCCTTCTCCACAAACAGGAGCGGGTGGTGGGGTCCACACACCCTCAGCCCAGAGAGGCTGGGCCAGCGGAGTGTGAGCAACAGCTTCCCGGGTGGTGAGGAACAGCTTCACTAAGGACTGGCAAGCCGGGGAAAACATGACTAGCTATTCACACCCATCTTAAACACACGTCATCCTATGTGGCCCGTCTGTTACCTTCTCCTGAGGGTGCAGGCGTCTTCCCTCCTCTAGGCCGGCTCACTGTGATGTCCCGGTCCTGGCCTCTGCTCCCCTGTGGCTATGTCATCTGCTGGGAGGGGTCTGGCTCCGCCCTCAGGGTTGCCAACTCAGTCCACATTCCTCCTGGACTAAGAAACATGCCCTGCTTTACGCCGGCCGCCCTCAGAGCAAGCACCCTGCTTCCCCTCTTTCCAACAGGACCGTCACCGAAACCAATCAGCCTCTCCTACCGGCCGGGCCCTCGCCCTTGAGGAGGCTGCACATGCCCTGTCAGCCCGTAAGCTTGGCCCAGTCCCTCGGTGCTGCTGGGCCTCTGGGATGGCCAGCGCTGCTGCTTTTATGACTCAAGTTCTCTCTTGAGATTCAACACCCACATTTTTCTGACTGCCCCCCATTTGGTTGCTGTGCTGTGGAGCGGGGCTGGGACTGGCTCACCCCTCTGCCTCGTGACTTCCCCTGTGCTCTGGTGCTCTGTCCCAGTGCCCTGGTCCTGTCTGCAGTGATGACGGCTACGGCATCTGCGAGGGAGTGGCTTGCCCCGTCCTCCGGAGACGTTTTCTAAAAGTGAGTTCGGGAAAGCCCAAACTCATCGCTTTGCTCATGGTGTTAGGACTTTCCCGTTTGCCAGCATGCGATGGACTCTGTCCACCCACAGGTGGGTGCCAGCTGCTATGTGATCCCACTCCCTGCCAAAGCAGGGAGACGCCACTCGTTCACCCTTGGTTCTGAGGTAGGAGACAGAGACTGGGCCTCGGCCTGTCTCAAAGGCCCGCCTCCAGGGCAGAGCCCGGGCTCCTGTCTCCCCACATCCTGGACAATCGGCTCTGCCGGAGACCAGCGAGACGCCCAGGAAGCTCTTGTGGCGGAGGCTGCAGGAGCTGCTCTTGGTTTGTGTGGTGCTCGGGTCCCGGATGTGCACATCTGGCTTCTGTCTCCTCATTTTAGCTCCACGGTGACTTCCTTCTCTCCTCAGCGCTTCCGTCTGTGGCCTCTCTGCTGACCTGGCCAGCCTCGCCGTGCCCAGCGTAACTCAGACTACAGTACCTCCCTGCCTAAAGCCAGAGGCAGTCTTATTACTCTCAGAACAAGTTTTACAGCCCTGCTCCTTGTCCCCAAAAAGTAAAAATAGAAATTCCATGTGGCCCCTTCTGGACATCTTCCTAAAGAGTTAAAGTCATCACATCACAGGGCTCCACACACAGTGTTTACAGTGCCACAGCTCACAAGAGCTAAACCTTGGAAGTGACCCACGTGTCCATCAGCAGAGGAGTGGATAAAGAAAATGTGTTCATATGCTATGCAGTACTACTGTGTCCTAAACAAAGATAAGCTTGAGTCATCTCTAGGAAAATGGGTGCAGTTTAAGACCATAATGCTGAGTGGAATAAACCAGACACAGAGCTCAAGTATCACGCGGTTTCTCTTACACAAGAAACTCAAAGTAAAGAAAATTTCAGGAGCGTAATGCAGGAGAGAAGCAGGAAGCAGGGAAGTAGGGTGAGTGACGGTGGGAAGGGGCCCCGGGGATGGAGCGGGATGGACCGGATGGGAGAGGGAAGGAATGTGACCAGGGTGTGCCACGTACTTGGCCCAGTGACCCATGACGAAAGTCACTATTATAAACACACCGACAATAAAAATAAACTAAATTCTTGATGGTTCCGAGTCTCTGGCTGACAGGTGTGCTCTGGGGCTCCTGCTGCCCTGTCCCTGTGCCTGCCAGGCTCTGCCACCAGGGCTGAGCCCCCTCTGCGCTTCTCTTCCTCGGACTCTCGTCCTGCAGGGCCTGGTGCCCCTTGGCCCCGGGGAAGATCTTGCTTCTTCCCAACAGCTGTGAGGACACAGACCTCCCCTGTCCTCGCCAAGGAGGCACCCAGCATGGCTGGCTGGCGGGTGACGTGGACAGCTCTGAGCCACTGTCCAGGCTGGGAGAACAGCAGAGCCCAGCGTCTGCAGCCAGCCCTGACCTCCACGGCCCCCACCAGCTCTGGGGATAAAGGATTGGGGTGCCGGCGGGCGAACCCCCAGACAGTGCCCCAGAACCCAGCTGCATCATCTGTGAAGTGAGACGCTCCTAGGATCGTGGTTCGGAGCCGGGAAGAGCCTGTGTGCAGATTCCCAGTTACGGAGCATTCGCTCACTCAAAGGCACCTAGCGCTCACGGTGACCCGCCACACCGGGCTCTTTGTGGACACAGACGGGGGACTCTGGGGTCAGACAGCTCAAGCCAGGCCGAGCGCTCGCGAACGACAGTGCCTCCCACCCGCAGCGGGGCTGCTTCTCTCTGCTGTCCCTCGCAGCTTCCCCAGCACAGCTTCAGCACACAGCCCACGGCTGCTCTGCTCGGAGCTGGGAAGAAGGGGTGTTAGCGGAGGCACCTGGTCTACCCTGAACACCCTCCCCACCCTGCTCCCCACACAGATAAGGTGAGCCACCCAGTATGGAGATGTTGCGGGAAGAGCGGCGGCCCACAAAAGCTCTGACTTGATGGCAAAATATTTTAATTTCTCCTAGAGCCTGCTCTCCACCCACTCCCAGCCACAGGTGTGGACTCAGCACAGATTCACAGCTCCACGGGGAGTTTCCAGCCGGAGGAGGAGGGTGTGCGCCTCCATGTGGGCAGACCCTCGCGGGTGTATTCAAATGTTCGCACTGATACTTTCGGAGAGCGTTTGAAGCATCTTATCAAAAGAAAACACATTTTAAGCAAGAGGTTAAAAAAGCTTTTCAGACCCAAAGGCCATTTAATACCATAAATCCTACTGGGGTGGTTAAGCAAACATTTTTTTTTTTTTTTAAACTCACATCCGACAGTCTGGTTAGTATTGGATACACAGATTTGGTTTCAAAGCTGAAATGCCTCTGGTCGGACAGACCTGCTCATGAAATTCAATTATTTTACATTAAGTCATAAAAATAGGGACACAGATCTATGGAGAATTTAAATATTAACTCAGTCGGCTACTTGGTATAAATAAGGGAAAGCAGTGGTCACGAACAGGGTGTGTGAGGCGAAGACACCAGCATACCTTGAACTGCAAAGAATGTTAAAAATCTACCCTGGAATCTAAAAGAGGAATAAAAAAAGAGTCATAATCCACTCGCTATAGAACCCCTCCGGCCCAAACCATCCCCAAGAAGTACACCCCAGCACGCGAGGCTCGCTAACCGCCTGCTCCTGGCGCCCATGTCCCTAGCTAACCATGACCACTGAACGTGCGTCCTGCTGGAGTTTTGTGATCATCCGCAGTGCACGAGTTAGTGGCTGCTGGAAGCCTCCAAAAGCTACCCCGGAGGCACCCTGACAAAGGTCCAGGCTGTGGGTCCGAGAAGCCCCTGTTGGAGGCGGCAGGAGCGAGTGGAGTGTCCTGATGCTGTCCTACTCCTGGGCCTCCTTGCGGGTCAGCTTGTAGATCTCGGTGGGCCCGTCCACGTGGGTGATGGTGGTGGTCAGCTGCAGCTCCTCCCCGCTGTGGACGCCCAGGTCACCTGAAATGGGGGAGGGGGTGGTGTTAGCAGTGCTGAAGGCAGAGGGAGCACGCCGGGCTCCTCTCCGGGACACTGGCCCTGTGCTGGGCCTCTGGGCTCCCTTCCTGCCTTTGCACTCGGAGTAGGCAGGATTTTAAACCTCGTTCTGGGCTCGCAGAGAGTGAGTGATTGTGGGTGAGCGCACTGCTGACATTATGTGTGGTAATCAACACTTCACGAGCACTTACTTTGTGCCTGATGCTGTTCTGAATGCTTGATCCGTGACCTTATTTTATCCCTATCAGAGCCCTCCAGGGCATACATACTGATATCACAGCAGCTGTACAAAGGGAGAAACTGGAAGGTAAGGAAGGTGCCTGCAGCCACCTAATAAAGCAAGTAATTAGGCTGAGGCAGAAGTGTCTCCTGGGTCCCTGCAGTGGGCTGACTAATAGGAAGGGTGGGCACTTTCACATTTGCTGAGAACAGTTTATACCGTAGTGACATCATGACAGAAAGACAAAGAAGACAACCTGCCTATACTGACTGAGACCCTGGGCAAGTGCCCACATTTATGAACAACTAGGGCTTTTCCTCTTCAAAAAAAAAAAAAATACCCCAAAATGTGCTCAGAGTTTTCTTCTGCCACTCAGGATCTGGGACACATTATGTCTTGAACTCACCCTCTGTGGACAGAAAGGAACTCCACTGGGAGGGCTACGGTGGCCTTTCTTCTGTTAGCGGGAGAAAAATATACAAGTTTCTGGAGCTGAAATCCTTTCTGTGTGTTACTTACCCTCAGACAAGTATGCGGATGTAAATCTGCAAAAGGAAAACGGGAAATGTCCGGAATCATCCACCAGAGTGTGGTGGTGCCCGTGTGCATGGGTATTTGCACACAGGAATGCCGGGAAGTGAAGTAAGCTCGGGTCGCTAATTTTTATCTTGCACACATAACAGTATTTTCTGGAATGGACACTTTTCCAGTTCAACATAGAGAACAGGTAGATAGACGGACAGATCAACAGATGGATGGATGGGTGGATAGACAGATACGCAGGCAGGCAGCAGGGCAGGCAGACGGGATTCCCACACCATTACCCAGACGCAGCCTGGTCCCTACACTCAGGGCTCCTACCCGACATCAGTGGGCCCGATGTTCTTAGAGCCCAGCGGTCGCACACACAGCTCTGCAGGCTGCTTGGCATGAAGTTTCACTGTAGACCCACTGATCAGGGCCCATCAGCGAGATCCGTCCCGTTAGCAGGCCCTGGCCTGCAGTGCTCAGACATGGGCAGAGAAGGCGCCAGAGAGGCATCAATCAGCCTGGCAGCCTCACCTGCACCAGTAACCAGAGGACAGAACCTCGCCTCTCTGGGGCAGGGTTACGGTGGCTGGCTGTGGTCAATCCCAACAAGGCTTGCACAGCAAGGTCACTCACTCACATTCTTGGTGGCTTCTTTCAGTCCCCAGTCAGCCAGGAGAGAGAAGCACCAGCCTCCTCTTAGGTGGAGGAAGCCTGTCCTGGATTTGCATATTGTAGCCCTCAGCCCTTCAAAGTGGCTCCTGATCTGCATGTCTGTGTGGGAGTACTCAGAATTTCAAAGGCGCCTGACACCCAGGGAAGTGTTTACCCAAGGAATCCCTTACCAAGCCTTCCTAGAGGCCAGCTCTGGGATGGTTTTTAGCCTAAAACGTAACTCCAATCAGCAGATCAAGCAGAGAAACAGCCAATACTGCTTTAAAAAAAAATAAAAAGACATCTCCATTATATTGCTTAGCACTGCACAAATAATAATGCACTACTCCTTGTGTCTCTTTTCAGACACAGGTGCTGTTATATCATCTTTGGGTGGAGAAACTGAGGCACAGAAGGGCAGGAACTTGCTGAGGCCAGACTTGATCATTAGCGATGTGAGCGTCAAACCAGGGCCGTGGGGCTCTGGCCCAGGATCTAATGTTTGACCTTCAGGAATACTCACGTTTCCAGCTGCTAAGGTAGGGGGAACCGCAGACAACGAGTGGCTGGTACAAACACACATGTGCAACACGCCGGACCAACCCTTAGACCATTGACTCTGCTCTTACACAGATCCTGAGTGGCAGAAGAAAACTCTGAGCACATTTTGGGGTACTTTTTTTTTAAGAGAAAATGTCCTAGTCGTTCATAAATGTGTGTGCTTGCCCAGGGTGTTGGTCAGTATAGGCAGGTTTTCTTCTTTGCCTTTCTGTCGTGACATAGCTATGCGGGTGTCAGCGCCCCAGTGGTGGCGGAAGCTGTGATTTGAGTGTATTTGGCGGGATTTCCTCCTAAGGTGGGGAGATACTGAGGCATAATTCATTTCTTTAGTGCACTGATGGTGATCCAGGTCAGTGGGGCCCTAGGCAGCAAAACCTAGGAATGTTGTGCAGGGTTATTTGCTGTGTCCTGCAGGGTGACTGTTCCCTAGGGAAAGATGGGGGCAGCAGGAGCGGGGATGCTCCCTCTGTTGCAGATCCCAGCGACTCCAACTTCCTCCAAGGCCTGGCCCAGGTGTGAGGCCCTGTCTCCCTGGGCTCGGAGCACCGAGCCCCGGAAGTTCAGTCTCCTCCCAGCTCAGACTGGAGCCCTCCCGGAAGTGTGCTGTGCTGCTTCCGGAGTGGGGAGGACAGGGAATGCTCCCATCTGGTCACCCCCTCTCCCTGGCCTTGACGGCTGCCACCCCCGCTCCTTCACGTGCAGATGGAAGCTGGGTTCTTCCGATCTTCCTAACAGCATCTCCAAGGACGTAGCCAGGACACCTGCGGGTGGGGTCCCAGGCTCTGGTGTGGCACTAACTGCCAGGAACTCCTGTAGAGGACCGGAAGGCCACCACGCCGGGGCCACTTGTTAAGTCCAGCAGCACTTTAGTGGCAATCGTGTCTGCATGCCTGTGGCCCTCTTGTGGGAAGAAGGAAAACTGTCATGCCCGTCCTGAGGTGGTTTCACAGCCCACGGAAGAAGAAAGGTCCTCTCACAGGAACAAAGGCGCCCTGATTCCCTTCCTGCAAGCACTCCGTTACTGCAGAGCAGAAGCCAGAGAACCCCACACCTGCTTCTCAAGGTCACAGAAGTCTACAGATTCACGCCTCCGGGTCTCGGCCAGGTCTGCGTTCTTCCCTGCATGGCGCCATCTGAGGTGCACACCCACCTTTCTCCCATCCACCATCAAAGCTAAGCTCGAGTGACAACTCCGTCACGAAGCCCCTGGTTTACAGCAGAAGGGGAAAAACAAGGTGCATGTGGTATCTGTAAGCTAAGGATTTTCAAACAAAGGACTGATACTTAATCTCATGTGTGCCCTATGTGTTGAGTGTTAATATAATTATTATATTAAAAACATAATGGGCAGTGCATTTTTTTCAACTTTCTCTGTTAAGAAAGTAAATTCTCAGCACAGTACCTAGTACATAGTAAGTGATTTGGGGTGGCTGGGCTTGGGGCTCCTTCCTAGAGTAGAGAGGCTTTGGTGGGACCTGGTGCTAGTCATCTCTCAGTCCCCGTCACTGAGGGGATGGTTGATATGTGCTTGCCCTGGACGTTTCCAACATACCTTCAAATTGGCTCCAGACATTTACTGCCAGGCAGCAAGTCCTCCAGGGAGTCACTAGAAACTTTAGAAGTTTGAAGTAAAATCTTAAGTGTCATGGGCTGAATAGCCCTACTCCCATCAAAGTCCCATGTTGAAGATACCTTGGCTTGTATTCAAAGAAAGGGTCTTCAAAGGGGTAATCAAGCATTCCTGGGGCACTGGTTCTGAGACCCCCTGGTGTCCCAGCCCAAACCCTGAAGATGTTGAAGTCTTGTATAAAACACTGTCATATTCGCACAGAATATGACACCTTCTTCAGCATGCTGGGCTGCTAGGCTGCTGAGGGTACCTAGTACGCAGTAAACAGATGCAACACTGGGTAGCACAGGGAGTCAGGGCAAGGGACAGTCTGTGCCTGTTCAGGACAGATGCTTGTTTTAGGGTACTTTTGGTTTTAGATGCTTTGTTTTAGGATACTCGTTTTAGGATGCTTGTTTTAGGATACTTTTGGTTTTAGATGCTTTGTTTTAGGATACTTGTTTTAGGATGCTTGTTTTAGGATACTTTTCGTCTGCAGTTAGTTGAATCTGAAGACGTGGAACCAAGGGTAAATGTGTGTGTTTATATTTTATGTATTTGTAAATATGTAAAAATGATTTGTGTGATTTTTTTTTCTATACTGAGGATTGAACCCAGGGCCTTGGCACTGAACTATATTATATTCCCAGTCCTTTTTTTTTTTTAATTATTTTTAATTTTGAGACAGGGTCTTGTTAAGTCACTCAGCTGTCTGGACTGGGTTCTACAGTCCTCTTTCCTGAGTTGTCTTTAGTTGCACTGTCCTGCTACCTTGATGTCCTCAGTTGACTCAAAATGTTCACCTCTCATGGTCACTTGGACTTTGGGAAAGAGCTAGAATTCTCACGGTGCCGGATCTGGTGAATAAGGTGGGTGAGGACACAGCGTCCTGTTTTTATGATCCTGCCTTTCCGGTGGCACTTGGCAGCAGCATGCACCACGTTTTTTATCACAGCTTGTGAAGACACTCAGGAAAGAGAACTCCAGAGCTGCTGCAGAAAGTGGCAAAAGCAATGGGATACGTGTGTTCAAAGCAAGGGGGAATGTCTTGAGGAGATTAATGGCAATGTGTCTTTCACTCTAATGAAGAATTTTTAACTTTAAGCATTCGCCGTGTTTTTGATCATGCTGCCTGTGTGTGTGAAATGCTGAGGCGCATACTCAGTGCTCATCAACTCTAACTGAGTAGTATCATCATCGCAACATCCTCACAAGTGCCTGGGTCACTGTCATGGCCTTTGTCTGAAGACAGGAGCTCCACTCACTCACGTCAAGGGCAGGGCCAACAGGATGACATGAAATGAAATCAAGACTCGGGTTCACAAGCCTGGAATCCCCGAGTGGGCCCCATGGAGGTCACTGTCAGAAGCTGCCTGCCTCTGCCTCCCTTGCATAAATAAAACACCAAAGGCAGGCAGCGGGGCAGAAGCTGACAGCTGTCTGTATGACCAACAGTTGGACTAGGGGAGGTAAACTCAGTCATTGCTCTGACTGGGGATGGATCCGAGAGTGAGGGTGGTGAGAAGTCTTTGCTCCTGGGACGGTCTCACAGGGATGTGGCCATTAAAGGGTGAGGACAGGTGGCAGCCAGGACCAGCCCTCCGCCAGGACACCACGTACACGCCCTCCTATACAAGGGCTGACCTGCAGCTCCTACACACATATCTGTGTTCCTCCGGCATATCTAAGCAGCGGCCCAGCCGGGCATCGGGGTGTTCACTTGTGAGTCCAGGGCTCTGGAAGGCTGAGGTAGGAAACTGCAAGTTCTAGCCCAGCCTGGGTAATTTAGGGACTTACAAAGACTCTGTTTTAAAATAAAAGTAATTTTTAAGAAAGGGTTGGGGATATAGGTCAATGTGAATCACACACACACACATACACACACACGCACACACACACACACACACACACACACACACACACGGCAGTCCTTGTCCTTAAGGACAATGACAGTAGAAGAGCTCAGGCATGGACAAACACCTACCATGTCCACCCAGGGCAAAGGAGAATCGTGACCCCAGGCCTGTTCCGTAGACAGTGGAGTGAGCGCCCCTGGGACACTGGAGGCATAAGAACAAGAACCAACACAAGCCACGTAGCTCATACACCTTCCTCGGTGCTACTCTCTCTCACCTGGGAAATGCAGCTCGTGTTTGGGGGTGAGGCAGGCAGGCGCAGGGTCAGAAGGGGCAGGGTTACAGCCAGGCAGGGACGATCACAGCCCTCTGCCATGGCTAATGCAGACAGCCCCAGTGAGCTCTTCCCTTCTTAGGTCCTCGCTGCCTCCCCTCTAAAATGACAGATGGGCTTAGTTCTCCGAGGTCCGTGAAGCACCAACATCTCAGGGTTCGACGAGACTCAGCACACATCAGCACTGAACCGCAGGAAGGTTTTGGAAAGAGGACTAGGGTGTGGCCCACTAGGACAGCACTTGCTTAGCAGGTGTGACCGCCAGCACCACAAACAAACAAACAGATACAAAACAAAGAAGACTCGTGAAGGAAAATTAACAGGGAGAAAATAAACTCATTCCATCTTCCACTCTCTGGGCTCAGGCTCCCTCTGCCTGACGTCGCAGGGTCTCACTTCTCAAACTGGAAGATTAAACGTGGCCTGTACTTTGAAATGGTTGGTTTTCTTCAAAAGATTCAGGAGAATAAATTTGATTCTTTTTGTACTAAAACTGGGACATATTTAAAAATAGCACAGAACATCCTAAATGTATTTTGGAGATTAAAAACATGAGGACTTCAAGAGCTACGTGGCTTGTGCTGGTTGTTGTTCTTATGCCTCCAGTGTCCCAGGGGTGTTCACTCAGTCTGCCAGTACGAGCGGGACACCTGGAGGGAAGTCTCATCCGCGAGCCCAGAGCTCTCGCCACCGGTCTTATGGGGAGAGAAACCGACTCTTCCTGACCTGAGCGGAGCTGAGGAAGCTGACACTCACCGTTGGACTGGTCCTCCCCGTAGTTCTTGTGGGATGGCGCGTACAAGAACATCAGCGCGAACACATACAGGTTCCACATCCCGTAGATGCCTGTGAAAAAGGCGCTGTTCACCTGGACCGTGACGCCACCCCATTTCCAATGGCCTTCGGTCACCTGCAGGAAAAGCACAGTGATACTCAATCAGAACCGAGCAAGAACGTGATGCCAGTATGGAACCAGCCCCTGTGAACACCAGGGCCCTTCAGATGTGCAGAAGTCAAGGGCACGGACACTGCGTCTTTCCTCCAAAGCAAACCTGCACAAATGGAGGGCAGTGGAGGGCTTGCGGTGTCGGCGGACACAGCCAGATTCTGATCTTGGGGACACATTAGCCTCACAGGGAGTGTCTCTTCCTAAACACCCTAGTGCCTGGTTAGCCTAAACTGTCACTCTCGTCCACAGTTAGAACTCCTGTGCTATCCTCTCAGACATGTAAACTCCGCAGACAGAGAGCAGCTCTGTACGACTGACTGTCCGGGCTTCAATGCCCAGTGCACGGATTAAGTCAGATTCACTGTTTAATAAGCAAAACTGCAGACTCTGGACTTCAATTTCCTCAGTGTAAGATAAAAACTTGCAGGGTTGTGGAGACTTGAGTAAAACTATTTCCAGAAATCGTGTGGCCCACGGGAAGCAATAAACCTCAGTAATTTATGAAGTGTCACTCTAGGTAAGTCGCTGACAAAAGTAATTATGAAGCGTTTGCATGCCTTTTAATTCTGCCAGTGATGGCTGGAAGCTGCCCTGTCTGCCTTAGTGGCTTGGTAACTGTTTTAAGCGCTGCCCGAAGACAGGGTTACACTGAGAACTGTCAGCAGAGCTGTGGAGCTGGCTGACTAATAATTTGCACTGGCTCTGAGATCACTGAAATGATTTTTGACTACTGCTGCTTGCTGTGGGACATTTGAAATGGGGATAAAAGAAAGTATTGGATAAATGTTTCTGTGACAGCTTAATGAGGCTGGGTTACATAAACCCGCTAGGGGAGCCGCTTCTCCACGGTAAGATGCAAACTAGATCTAAATGCTCATGACTACCCAGCAGGCTGACTCCCCTTCGTCTATCATACAGTGGGTCTGCATTCTTGCTTTACCCTCTGCGTCCCCCATTGGTATGATTTGGACCTAGAATGTCCCCAGAAGACTGGTATGTTCAGAGGTAGGGCTTGGGCAGGTGATTGGCTCCTGGGGGTATAGACTCATGGTGGGTTAATCCATAGTTGATGTGCTACTAGGAAGTGAGTGTGGCTGAAAGCGGTGGATCCCTGCGGGGAGCGGGCTTGTTCTGGGGGTGCATCCATCCCCCTGAACTCCTCTCTTCCTGGCCACCGTGACAGAAGCAGCTTTTCTCCACCAGACCCTGCCCTGCAGCCAGACACCTGGGCACAGAAAACAAGAGCCAGAATGAATCTCTCCTCCTTCAAGCTGTGGGCGTTGGGTACTTAGCTAAGACACCAATGACCACTGGGGTCGTACGCCCAGTGAGGTGTAGGGACAGTATTTCCCTGTGGAGAGGTGGTGAACCAGGCTATCCAATTATAGCCTGAGCAGTTTTACTTTGGCCTGGGTGATACATAATTGTTCATTTTGTGTGAGTCATGAGAAAAAAAAAACAAAAAACACCATGAACTCTTACTTATTTCGGGAAATAATTCACTTTCTATGAAATATCCAGGAATGTTTTTAAGCCAAGAAGTGTTTTATAACCATTACTGATATAACCCAGGCATCAGCATTGAAGCTACTTGTAACTTCTTCAAAATGTCTCCAAATGCCACTCTTCCTACTTGGAGGTGCAGAATGTCCTAGCTTTATACGAATTGCAGTGCTTGGGGCACCTTCCGATGATTTTTGATGCATATAATAGAAGGTGAAAGGAAGACCTAAGATCTCATCTTAACAGAAGATTTAAGTTCCTGGAAATATATGTGTGCTGTTCTGACCCAGGGAAATTTCTGCCTGAGGTTAAGGAGGGGAGCTGAGGCTGAGAGAGCTGTAAGCATGACAGAAAATGGGGCATTTAGCTAGGAGCAGGACTGGAAGAGACCCTACTTACATCCTCTAATACACACTGGGATACCCAGGAGGGTCACTTTTGAGGGATGTGATTCTTGCTAGGGTTGGTGCGCCCAACCCATGTAAGGAAACACCATCCTGTGTGTCTGGTACCCAACGGTGCTCAGCAGATATCTGTTGAATGAACACAGGAATCTGCAGGGGCCCCGGCACAAACATATGGAGACGGGGATTAGGCACACAAACAGCCACTCTTACACATCTGGTGGAGAAGTTAAGAGAGAACATTACAGTCTACAGTGGGTCACAATAATTGCACTTGAAATGAAAAGAGATGCCAAAGGGTGACAAGTTTAAATACTGATCTCTATTTCATTCCTTTACTGCCAATTAAAGCGGTGATTAACACAGATATTAGCAAAGCTAAGATTCTTCTGTAACAATAGCAAGGAGGAGCATAGTTCGCATTTATTCCGTGCTCATGCTGTACCAGCCCCTGGGTGGAGCATTTTACATGAAAGATGTTATTTATTTTGGTAATATTTCCACTTAACGCATGGGTACACCATGGTACAAAGAAAGACAGTATCTTGCCCAAGATCGCTTTGCTAGAAAGTCCTGGGTCTGGTCTGAGAGAAGGTGTTCAGCATGAGGGTAGGAGGATTATTTTAAGCAGGGTCAGTCTCTGAGGGCAGCATACGAAGCAAATACTAGGGAAGGCCCAATTTCCTTAGGAAGATCACTCCAGGGCCCATGCGTTGTCCCATCTGTATAGCAGCACACACGCAGCGTGCATCCTAGCATAGCAATGCATGTTGTGTAAATACACGGGCTGCATGTACAAAGTGCAGTTTCACAGAAGGGGCTGAGCGGGATGAGAAAGAGCACCCCGGGACACGCACGCTGCTCAGGATACAGCGGTGCCATTACCCGTCTGCTGGATTTGTAATCTGTACGTGCATTATTTCCTGCTGTGGGCAGAGCCGGAGTGCATAAATGAACTGTGCAGATAGTGGGCTCCGCTGTGGGGAGACTGCATTGTGTGCTCCTCTCCTCTCTTGATTGTCAGGCCCGAGACAGCCTGAGCTCCAGGCACATTCCCACCGACAGAAGCCTCAATTAGCAGGCTCCCCAGAACAGGCCTTGTGGACCCCAAACCTTCCCGATGTCAAGGACAGAGGGGACAGTTCTCCCCTTTTAACTTTCAGAGACAAAACACAGGTAGCCCCATCAAAAAAAAAAAAAAAAAGTCACTCACGGCAAAAGTCTTGTTTCTGCAAGTGCCTGTTTTTCCTGATTTTCCATTTCAACAATTTACTTTCGTGTGAAACCACCCAATTACACCCCGGGAGCCAAGCGAAGGTCAAATCCCTTCACACCCAGTAGTCTTGACAACCGACATTCCACTTAACAACAAGGTTTCCAGCGCTCAGACGGGGCTCTCTTACCCGACCGGCCTCTGCGAGTCACAGAATAACGCAACCTCGCGCACAAAAAGGAGCCCAGGACAGGCTCACTGGGCTGGACCTGAATGTCAGGCACCTGGGGGTCCCCTGCGCGGAGGTCAGTGACCCCGTCACCCCGACACTGCACTTCTGTATCCTGCGGCCATCGCCTCTGAACAGAACGCCTCTTTCTCTTCCAGAAGGAAGCAGGTGAAAGGCCAGGCGCGGATACCACATCCCGTGGTTGCTATGACTGAGGCCATTAAAATGGCAGGCATTAAAGACTGCACCTCCGTCCCCGGCCACAAAGCTTCAAGGTCACCACATTCCACCACTTCCCGGGCCTTTCATTCCTCGCCTTAGAGCCTCGATATCCTGGCGAGCCCCTGCCCCATTATATTCCACGGGGCTTAAGTGCAGCGCTCCCAGCAAGCCCGAGAATATAATGCGGGCTTTAAAACACTCCTTTTACCTAAGGCTGGGATCCATTTCAAAAAAGTTACCCAATAGGTTTTCTTTCAGGTGAGCTCATTGCCCTGACATTCCAAAACGATATTAGAAAATAAATACTATGATGACTGTATTAATACAGGACCGGGACACTGAATGTTGTGCTGGAAAATGTCTTAGATGTCTATAAATAAACCTACAAAAAACCAGCAGGAGGAATGTGAGGAGCTAATGGAAAATCTACTCCAGGCCGACTAACGCAGCGGACATGAGCAGACAGACACAGGCTGGAGCTGGACCTGGGGCAACGGGGTATTAATCTTTCTTCTCTAAAGGAAAGCCCCCAGCTAAGCTCCTTGGAAGTCGGCTTCCGTTGCTTTCCAAAGTGCAGGAAAGATGTACCAGATTAAACTCTGGCAAGGGGCACCCACCTGGAGGACTTCAGGGTGCAAGGACTCTGCAGAGGCCAGCCGGTGGGGTGGGAGTGAAGGGTCCAAGGTTTTATAATCACACAGCTGGTACAACACAGCGCTGTGGTAGGTCAGAGCAGAGCTATGAGGATAAGGCTACATCAGCCCTCAGGAGAGGCAACAGCAGTAACAGGCCGTGGGGCTGGGCTGGGCTTGAGGGTTCTTAACTTGGGGTTCCCTTGGATGGAACTAGGGGTGGTCCATGTATTGGGATTGGAAAGAATTATTTCAGGGTCTTATCTGTATACTTTTTTTTGTGGCGGGGGGGGTACTGGGAATCGAACTCAGGACCTTGTGCTTGCCAGGCACGCCCTCTGCCACTGAGCTATACCCCCACTCAGGGTCTTATCTGAAAGTTAGTTTTTCCTTCAGTTCTGAAGGTGGGAAACAAATCCCTGTAGTATTAGCACTGTGGTTTTCTTGTCAGCAGAAATCACGGAATTTGTACGTCTTAGTTTTTGAAGATATACATCTGTAATATACTTGGGATATCTCTAATGTGTACAATTATATACGTTGCAGAGATATAATTTTTAAGTTATAAATAAATATAGGTAGATGATTGCCCTTATAGTGTGAAATATTTTACTGTACGTATTTAGAAACATTCTCAGAAGAGACCCACAGCCTTCGCCAGCCTGCCCCTGGAGCATGCGGAACCCTGGACGGGAGGCGGCCTTCCTAGCAGAGTGAAACAGTCTCTTGCCAGGGCTCCATCTGTCCCCACAAAATTCTCTATGTTGTCAAATATACGGGTGATGGAGCACAGGCAGAAGAGTCAGAAGGAACAAGCTGCGGTCCGCAGCTCACACGCATTATGGCAACACATCCAGTTGTCTTGCTATTCACACGAACAACCACTCATGCCTGGAAAGAACCAGAGGCCCTGCTAACGGGCTAGTCACGTTCCGGCAGTACCTCCTGTGGTCCGTACAGCAACTTTCTGTTGTGTTCTTATTGCTTAATAAGAAAAATGAAACCCCAGGACTGTCCAGCAGTCCACACACATTCCCGGGCAGCTGGAAAATAGAGGAAATGGGAACTGTGTCAAACACCAGCAGATTTTATATTCTGGCAAACTGGGACATACCAGTTCCTACCCTACTTACTTGAGAGGATTTTTGGAAAGCTCAAAAGAATGATAGATGCCTAATATGTGAGATTTCAACAGTAATTTCTACTTTCCAACACAAATCATCGATACTTCTCCATTACTGTTATTGTTCCTGAGGTTTTCACGTGCAGCTGACATTTCGAGTGTGGGGAATAACAATGGGGAGATGAGGCTGTGCCAGTGGGACTTTTTGAATTACGCACCCAGCTTAAGTGGCAATACAGTCACTCCAAAGAATGGCTGGTGACTGTAAAAGGGTCTATGTCAATGGCAGATAAGGAGCCAATCAAATTAATTCTGGTTAGTGTTATGCTGCAGGGCTCACTTGCAAAGTTCTTTCTCTTCAATAAATGAAACATGTTCCCTTCAGTCTGGCTGTGGGGTTTTAATTTATTGAGCAACTGTTACCTCCTACAAAGCTGGACTGAAAGAGTCAGTCCAAGTCGCTGGGGGTCGAAACAAGCAAAGCTTGACCGGCTGCCTGGAGCATAACCCCTCTGCAACTGCTGATGTGTGCGGGGTCCTCCGGGGACTTTCCCTCTGGATGACTCAGGGCCACTCACCTGACTAACGATGAAGAAGATGACAGTCATCGCGGCACAGGCCAAGGTGATCAGCATGAGGAATTTGAACCGGAAAATCAGCCCCTATTTGGGAAGAGGGAAACGTGCTCAATGTTTTGCCAGGCCTTTTATTCACATAGGAATCCAAGAAAAGCTAATTTGAAAGAACTCTATAAAAGCAAATCCCCACAAATGATGGTAAAATAATTCTGCATGCTAGTACTTCTCCTGCTAATGGGAGCATGGCCGAGACATTTCTGTTTCCCAGGTTTGTATGTCTCACCAATCAGTGGCAGCAGAGCCTGGGCAGTCGTACTCCTAACATGTCAGGGGGCTGCTGACTTCCCGCTAAGCTGACGAGGCTTCTCTGCAAGGGCTCAGAGTTTCAAAATCCAAGTTTTGTGCAGTAGTACTAGAACTCTGCTCTGCTGAGCAAAAGAAAGTATGCATATTCGTCAACAGGAAGTGGATTTGGTTGAATGTGCCCATGTGTCATTCCAGCTCTGGGGACAGGCAAAGCTCAGAAAGTCCCCGTGATTTCCCAGAGCAGGACTGGATGTCTGCTAGTCAGGGGTGTTGATGTGCAAACCCGCTGCATAAGGAAAGCCCTGGGTTCTGCTGTTTCTCCTTCTTTTGTCGGGAGGAAGTAGGCCGGCATCTCTGAGGACAGCCACTTAGGCACAAAGCAAAGGAGCCTTGAAAAAAATCAGGAATGTGTTGAATGGATTAGAGGATGTGAGGCTCCAAGTCTCTCTCTTGAGGGAGGAACATGATTTACACACCGATGACGGGCCTCCAGCTGATCACCTCCTGGCTTTTAGGAGCATGTGGACTATTAGAACTGGGGAGCATTTTAGGGCTCATTCTGGGCAAGAGAAATCTGCTGAAAGCCTCACCCCCCAGGCCAAGCCCCAAATTCTGCCATAGTTCAGGTCCAGTGAGCACCTCCGTCCCATCAGAGCAGGAGGACCTGCTGAGCGAGCGAACAGCTCACAGAGGTGGACTGCTCGGAGGAGGCTCAGCAGGGGCCTTCGGGGAGGTCCTGTGGGTGAGTCTCTCAGAGGTGCGCTGGAAAGCAGAGCCCTGTGAGGGCCAGGCGCTCTCGCGGGACCCCGAAGCTGCTCACCTCGTAGTGCAGCCGCCGCACCTTGCTCATGGCGGGCAGGCTGGACTGCTTCCCGCTGATGTTCCGGAACACCTGGAACACCATAAAGCACAGGAAGAGGAAGTAGAGGCACAGGCAGATCCCGGCCACGATGATGAAGGCCATCTGGTGACGTGCAGTCAAGGAGGAGGTGGGTTCGCTGTGGACACAAGCTGGGGACACGGGCCCGGGCACTTCTCCCAGAGCGCTGGTGACACTCGTTTGGTATTCAACTATGTAGGGAATTTTAAGGGGGATAAAAATATGACAAGCTTGCTTTCTAATGGAGGTTTTTGGTTATAACTGTTCCACAGAGGAGTGTTCAAATCGCTTCCCAGGCCAGGAAACCAAGGGCGAGTGTGTGCGGTGGCCACTGGGCCAGCCGTGGAGCCTTCTAAGGACGAGACCGAGATGTGTGGGCCAAGGGAGAGCCGAGCAGGGCCAAGTCCAGCAGCTGTCAAGGACCTGGCCGGGGACTGAAGGCCTTGGGGTCAAGCCAGGGGTGAAGCCCTGCTGGTCATCTGCTGTCACCACTGAGAATCTTCTCAGCTGCATGGGAAGCAGAAGGACAAGGGTAGGAGCTGGGGATGGGGCCCACTGAAGGGGCTCCACCGTAGGGTCCGGTCTGATGCCCACCAAGGCTTGGACAGCATTTCCTGGCTTAGAAGGGGACTGGCTTCACTTCACCTCATCTCAGCTGTAACAACCCCACCCCAGTTTGCTTATATTCTTAAAAAATCATTTGAACAAAGGTGAGTGAGGCTATATATGAAGCATGATCAAAAACTGGGCAAATGTTTACATTTTAAAATGTACTAAGTAAAAGACACACTGCCATGAACCCCCTTGCTTCCAACACACTCATCTCGTCGTCGTGCCGGTTTCTGAAGCAGTTCTGGAAGTTCTTGTTTGTGGGTGTCTTTAGTTATGCTGTTGTGGCTGCCTTGATGTCTTGACTGGATTCAGAACATTTACGTCATGTTCATTCTGCTCTTGGGGAAGAGCCAAAGGCCACCCTGAGACAGACTGGGTGAACAGGGTGGATGAGGACACAGCATCTTGTTTTATGAGGCTGTCTTTCCACTGGCTGGCACCTGGAAGCAGCATTCACTATATTTTTGATCACACCTCCTAAAGACACTGAGGAAAGAGAACTCCAGAGCTGCTGCAGACAGCGACAAGGATGATGAGATGAGTCTGAAGCAAGGAGGGAGGATCTTGTGGGTCATTCATGTGCCTTTTGCTATAGTACATTTTTTGGGGGAGGAGGTCTTTTTGAGACAAGGTCTCACTATGCAGTTCAGGCTGGCCTTGAGCTCACTTTGTAGCCCAGGCTGGCCTCAAACTCACAATGATCCTCCTGCCTCAGCCTCCCAAGTGCTGGGATTACAGGCGTGTGCCACCACGCCCAGCCTTATAATAAACTTTTTATTTAAGCATTCCTCACACTTTCTGATCACACCTCACATTCATTAGCTAGTATATTTAGTGAATTGCTCCATTGCTCCTTTCTATGATCAACAGTATGGTGGGATAAAGCAAATGTGGTTATTTCCTGTAGGTCTTGGAATTTTCCTTGCTTCCTAGACTTCCTTCCCCATCAAAATGAATGTGTGGAACTGATGTGTCATTATAAATTCTCCCCTGATGCACAGCTAGCATTTTGGAGGTGGCAGTGGGGTAGCGGTAGAGGAAGGGCAGAAATCCATCATCTTTAAGGTTTAGTTTGTTACAACATTCTTGTGACCCTGAGAAACCAACAAAACCCTCAGGGCCAGGAGATAAAACATTCAAATCCAGCATCCTTAAAGGGATAAGCTAGGACTGTCACTTAAACTTCATGAGGAAGCCTGGGCTGTCCCCTGGAACTAATCACCTCAGCCTCCACTCCAGCCGTCTCAGGGACGGAGAGAGTGTCTGGGTGTGTCTGCACGCGCACCAAGGTCACCCCCACAGGTCTCGCGCTCAGGTGACTTTGAGACAAAGGCAGGCTCTCCCCACAGCGGCCCAGAGGTGCACGTGGGGGGCTGCAGGCAAATGCTGGTCACGCTTCAGCCTGCGGTAAACTGATCATTCAGATGGGCTGCAGGGAAAGCCAGCCACCCTGCTCCTCCACCAGGCTGCTCAGCCAGGCTTGAAAGCAAGCAGAGATTTTTGCAGTTGTTTGCCTTAATTATGCTGTTATCATGGGTCTCGGGATCAAAGCTCTGGCTGTGCACATGTGGAAAACATCAGCTGAGCTTTGGAACACGATCTTGAGAACCAGCAGCTATGGGAACAAACAAAACCCTGAGTACATCTCGGAAGGATACAGCCAGCTCCGTTCCAACGTCTGTTGTCCAGATACTGTAGAAAGGGTTGGTGAGCTGTACGCCTCTACAAAGACAAAAGCAAAAAGAACCGAGAGGGAAAGGTGGGGTGTCATTACTGCTAAGGCAAAGCAGGGCTTTGCTTAGCTTTCTTTCCATTTCCAGCTGGGGAAGGAAGAGCTGTGTCCAGACCACAAAGCTTCACAGAGGACCTAAAGTGAAACAGAGCTTGGGGAGCATGATTGCCCAAAACTTTTGCAACTGTAAAGGGCTATGCATGGGGCTGGGGATGCACAAGGGCCTGGGTTCGATCCCCAGTGCTGGGAAAACAAAACAGAGGGCCATGGCTTTGACTGAAGCCTGGTCTGGATCTGAGGACGTGTTCACACCTAGTGCTTTCATCCCAAAGGCTCCCAACCACTGCCCTCCTCAAATCACCCTGTAGAAGAGATGGGAGCAGGGGCAGTGGTCACCTTCCGCTCCGAGTCCCACGGCCATCTGCTCACCTCTCACACATGTCAAATACGAAGAGGCAGAAAGAGCCAACAGCAATCGGGCCAACTTGCTTCCAGTACCCTGCGATGTGGTTCCGCTCGTGCTGATCCTGCAGGAGACCAAGTGGGAAGAGGAGATCAGGAGGGGCAGCATGCAGCTCTCGGGGTGAGCCAGTCTTGCCCACAGTGTGTGCTGGCCAGCGAGGGATGTCTGAGCTGGACTCCAGGTGTCTCTGAACAAGGGAGGCAGAGGTCCTGTTATTCAGGAACCTGCTCCACTGGGGACATGGGGACATGAAGACACCATCACAAAGCCCACCTGTGAGGGCGCTAAGAGGACAGGGTCCTACCGGAACACAAGGATCAGCAACAGCCCTGGCAGGGGTGCTTTTGTGGTCCACCAGATAAAGCTTCAGAATTAAATTCCTGTGGAACTGATGACCTTTGCTTGTAAAAGGTCCAGAAGAGGATTGAGTGAAGACGTTAATCAAGGTATACAAGTACGCCCAGTATGAGATCTCTTATGGTTGAAAATTGGACTTTTTCCCCTTATCTTTGTTGAATTTAAGAATGATGCCTCTCGACAGAGGCATAAGAAGACACACAGAAAGGAAAGAGAGGGGTGTCAGTTGAAATGGGGACAAACATGAGGTGACTCTCAGGGCTGGAGATGTAGCTCGGTGGTGCAGCTCTTGCTTTACATGCACAAGGCCCTGGGCTTGATCCCTAGCACCCCTCAGCAAAAAAGAAAGATGTATCTGAGCCGCCAGGCTGAGGCACAGCTGGAAACGGCAGGGATACGGCTGAGCTCATCCCAGACAATCTTCTTGGCTGGCAGCTCTACTCTTGTCTAGCCCCCTGCCCAGAACTCAGTCCCCTGAGGCCCCTCTATGGGACCCTTACAGTGCAGCCAGGCAGTGGGCAAAGCCTCCTTCAGCCAGAGGGCCTTTTCAGAGGCTGAATCTACAGTGTGTGATTGATGCATAGTGGAGTGCTGGGATTAAGGTTGGTGATTGCTGGATCAGCCCACTGATTGGATTGGCACTGCCTTAATCTCCAGTAGACTGGATACAATATAAGAGACAGAAAGAGATTTGTCTCCTCTTGTTGCTTTTGCTGTCTTCCACTGCCATGAACTGTTGCTCTTGTGACATGCCACCCTGCCTTGGAGCCAGCCAATTGTGGACTGAAACCTCCACAAGCTGTGAGCTAAATAAAACTTTGTTCCCTTAACTCTGGGTGTCTTTGTCTCAGCAATGAGCAGCATAACTAAGACAGAATTCTCTTGCATGGCCCTCCAGGAGGGGCAGCAGCCTGCAGCGGAAGATCTTTATGATTGAACTAGTGCAGGATTTAAAGAGTGCGCCGTACCATGAAGTTCACGCACCTGACAGGAGGCCCAAGTTCAGGTGGTGTCTGAGCCATTGTGTGAAGATGGCACCAGTCTTGTTTTTATTCACGGTACCTCAGCCTCTCTTAAATTAGGATCTGATGTCCACACAAGAAGGTCCTGGGGGCCACTGGGTCCCATAGACAGGCTGCCGGCTGCAGGGGGCATGCCCACATTCCCTGTGGCTGACCTGCTCCCGGGGGCGGGCCAAGCAGAGCCCAGCCGAAGGACAAGAAACAAGACTGCTAATTAGAATTGGTGTTTCATCTCCTGGGTTACTCACAGTATCTCGCTGAGTTCTCACAAAGGCCCTATTCATGAGGCTTTCAGAAGACATTTCATGGATGGGGGGCCCTAAGTTAGGTCACCTGTCCAAGCCACTCAGCTAATTACAGGTGGAGCTGGAATGCGGCGAACACAGAGTTTGGCCCCTCGGCGTCCTCCTGTCACCCCGGGCTCATTCTGCCTCACCGCGGTGGCTGCAAGGTGGCGACAGAGTGACCCGGGCCTCTCACCATCATGTGCTCGCCGCAGAAGATGATCCAGAAGGACAGCAGCATGGCGTAGAAGACGCCCTGCCGGATGTCCCCGAATAGCAGCATCCAGGTCCAGTCGAAGCCGATGGAGAACCACTCCACGGGGGTGTTGATGAAGGTCATGGAGATCCCAAGGGCGAAGATGACCCTGCGGGGGAGAAGCCACCGGGAAGCCAGGTTACTCGCCCGCCAGGCACAGGGGTGGGTTTTCAGAATCCTGAAGCCAGCTTTGAGAACCGGCTGTTGCTCCTTATTGGGACCGAACCATCAGCCTGGTTTCTTAGCCGTAACAGTGAGCTCCCAACCGAAACGCAAGCCATCCAGAGTGAAGGAGCGTCACCTCAGCCTCCTTTGCATCTGGGGCAACCTGACCCCAACGCCCCACTCAATTTTGGTACCTCCGACCATGTTTCTGTCCTCGGCTTTATTAAACAGACCTCGAGGGGATACTTGTCCCCCGCCCCCATGTGTACAGGACGTCATCAACCTGGTCATTAAGGGCTTGTACTCTTACTGTGATAGATCCAGCAGCTACGAGTTATATCAGCATATCTGTCTCAGTAATAAACAGCCCAAATACATAGGAAATACCAGTTCTTTTGGCTGTCTGTTGAGGTTTTATTTTACTTTTCCTTGTTGCATTGCTAACTGCCACTTCGCTGTGACAGTATCACTCCTACATCACTGATTCATTCATATTTTTTCACACCCATGAGATGTGACCCATGGGTTTAGGAAGCATGGCCCCTATGCCAGGAATGCTGCTAAGGAGACAGACGCCATAAGGACAGTGTTGGCCTCACGGAGATGCATAGTGGGGGAGACGGACAAAGGCGACTGCAATGGACTGTGGTAAGCAACATCACCACGGTGCAGCGCATGGACGGCCGCCCCCAAGACCGATCTCCCAGGTAGGGACAGAGAGTGCGCTCGCAGTGAGCCGGGGCGAGGAGGAGGGAGGGTGTGGCAGGGCCTGGCTGGAGCCGCAGAGGCGCAGAAGAACTTGCAGTATTTGGGGATCTATGAGTAGTGCAGCTCAGGAAACAACAGGACAGCAGTCCAGAGAAATGAAGAGGCTGAGAGCGTCATGCGTCTCACCCATCTCATTAGGGAATCTGAACTATCTTGAGGGGACTGGGAATCCAATAAAAGTTCAAGAATGGAGTTACATAGTTGAATCATTCACTCAACAAGTGTTCATTCAATGCCTTTGTCCAGTCTCTATTCTAGATGCAGAAGATATGGTCACGAACAAGATGAGCAAAGACCCTGCTCTTGGGACGCTAACCCCGCAGGTGGAAGGAGACGGGTAGATAAATGAGGAATGTTCATTCTGAAGAGAAAACCAGGTGAGGGGAGGGAGAGGAGTCGGGGCAGGATTTTATACAAAGTAGATTTGAAAATGCCTCTAGGGAGAGAAATATCAGGTACCCAGGGAAGGACCAGCAAGTGCAACGGCCCTGGGGGAGCCCAAGCCAGACCTCAAGGGAGTTGGAGAGAAAAGGAGAGAAGATCAGAGGTGGCAAAGGGCCAGATCATTAAGGGGTTTGCAGACCAGGGCCAAGGAGATGAAAAGCAAGGGCTGACGTGATCTGATTAGCACTCAGCAGGAAGCACCAGGCCGCCTAGAATAGACTCTAGGAGGAAAACAGCAGAAGCCAGGAGAGGCGTTCAGAGGCTGCTATTTCCAGTAATCCAGGTGAGAAGTCGTGGTGGGTTGCTTCGATTGAGGAGGTAGCAATAGAACTGGTGAGATTATCCAGCAGGCTAGGTAAGAGGAGAGGGGGGAGGGAGGGAAAGAGAGAGGGAGCGAGCAGACGGGGTGATCCCACCTTTAAGCTGGGGCAACTGAAAGGATGCCACCTGCCACAATGGGGAAAACTAGGAGAGCAACAGTTCTTTGAAAGAAGAGAAAATCAAGCATCGTTCTTTGTACACATGACACTTTGAACGCAAGGGCAGACTTTGAAGAAACAGTTGGAATATTTGGGTCTAAAGTTGGGAGAAACTGAGGTTGAAGGGGTGAATTAGGAGTGATCAGAGGGCAGAGGGTTTTGAAGCCCGTGGAACCTGGTGAGATCACAGGGGAATAAGCACAGCTAATAGCAAGTAGAGGCCTCCCAGCTCCAGCCCTGGCTCCAAAACTGAAGAGGCTGCCGCAGTGGGAGGGAAGGCAACAGAGCACAGCGGAGGACCAGGGGTCTGTGTGAGGGATGCCATCCGTGATGTCAACGCTGGCGACGTCCAGCAAAATGAGGACCGGAAGTGACCCTGGCACCTGGAATGTGGAGGTCACTGGCGACACTGTGAGTAGTTTTAGTGGAGTCCTAGGGAGGAATCCAGGCTGGCAGGGGCTCGGGAGAGCAGGGAGGAACAGCACACAGGACTCTGAGGGTCCCTGCAGCAAGAAGGAGCAGGAAAATGGTGCAGCAGCTTTGCAAGCAAGCGGGGGAAAGCAGCGTTTGTCCAAGAATGGGAGCTGGCGGAGCATGCTTGCATTTTAATGCAAGTGGTGCGGCAGGAAGGGAGCGGTCCACAGCATGGAAGAAGAGAACCATCGCCGCAGGAGCGCTGCCCTTCTTTGGGCGACAGGGGTGGCTCAGTCAGGAGCAGGGTGGTTCATGCTGTAAGGAGAGAAGCTTCTGACGGCTCCGAGTGTGGAGGTGAAGAGTGAAGACAGAGATGTCAGAGACGCAGAGCCCCTAGGACTTCATAACGATTCGCACAGGAAATCTGAAGGCCAGGGAGGACTCCAGGGAGACTCCTGGCCATAGCCCTCACCAAGCCCCTTGGTGGCTGCTGGGCCCAGCAAGAAGAGCGCATGCGGGTCGCGGGGAGCCAGTGTCCCTTAAGAGCGCTCGCAGTGGGCTCTTACTTTTCCAGAAGCACCGGGGGCCGGGACATCATGGTGATCCTGCGCCAGTACCACACCATGATGATGAGGATGCTGGGCGTCAGGAAGGTCTTCATGGCGAACCACACCTTGGTGAAGCCTCCGTTCTGGTGGATTCCCTAGATAGACACAACCAGATTGGGAGGGTGAATATATCTTTGTGTTATTATTATTATTATTATTATTTGCTGTCTAATGCTTTCAGGGCACAGATGAATGGAAAGCTTGTGTGCCAAACTTTCAAGACCAAAAGCGTTGCTAAGCACGGCACGAACCACCCTCATCTACCCTCCGAGCTGTCCTCAAGCACTGCAGAAATATATATGTTAAAAGGCAGGAAAATGGGCCCATTCATGTGAAAGGAATGATTGAGACTGTGGTCACAGATTTTTTGTAGGGTTTTCACTGTCTCGTAGATTCCAACAAGTTGAGATGAGATCGGCAAAATGCCTTCAGGTAAATCTAGGCAGCAGAATGCTAAGTCGTTTTGGAAAGTAGAACTGCATTATTCGCAGCATGCCCTCATACGCAGAAAACAGAGGGAACAAAGGTCAGATCAGTGTGATTCCCTCTTTATAAGGGAAGTTTACGCCACAGAAGCCTTGGAGGAAGTAGATCCAAAGCTTACTAGAGGTTACTTCCCTAGACAGTGGGATGTTGGACAATATAGGCAGGTCACTGTCACCCTCTACCAGGGCTTTACCTATATTTCCTAACTTTCTACAACAAATGCCTGTTCTTGTGCGACTGCTTTGGGGTTTTTAAAAACTGTTCTTCTCACTCCATGCTTTCCCTCAAACAAATAAAATGGAAGGAACCTAGAACACCCCTGTGCTCCCTCCAGCATCGGCGCTTGCAAGCTGGGACATGTTGAAAGTATTTGACTTTTATCTCGATGCAATCACAATCCTATCATCACGACCTTATAATCATCGTAATGGTCTTCAGTGATCTTCAGCCCACTTGAAATAATTGCATTGTTTTCCCCATGTCTGCCGTCACGCGCACAGATTAATTCACTCTCTGATCTCGGCTGGCGGGTCTGTGGCTGAGTCTCAGAGGCAGCTGGGCGAGGGGGTGCACAGGTGCCCAAGTGTGGGGGTCCCTTCCCCATACGTGCCTGGAGCCATGTCCCTGGCCAGCTCCTGCCGTCACAGCCTGTGCGGTCAGTGACGTTCACTCACCACCAACCGGATGTCCTTGATCTCTCCAATCCCGACGTTGATTTTCTTCTTCTCGTTCACGGGCAACCGGATGTTTAGCAGGTAATACTTGTGGGCCACGGAGCCGACTTCCATGAAGGGGAGAACGTCGCATTCATAGTAGCGGCCCTCGTGCTCTGGGGTCTGGAAGAATAGCACAGGGTCTCAGGCAGGTCGCTGTGTCCCCAGTTCTCTGTGTCAACCCCCTGACGGTGGTCTCCCCTCGTGAATCTGAGGAAGCTCCTGCTTCACGGACACAGCTGAGGGACAGATCACTGGGGGGCCCTGGGGCCACCATGTCCACCCCACTGTGCCCACCTCAAAAAAATAAAGAAGATCAGCCACATCTGAAGTGGAACAGAAAGACTTATGAAGAAACAGAGATCTCTTCTATGTCTTAATGCTGCTCTCTGCACTTTGATCTCTGTTACAGCCTCACGTCAGGCTACTGTGGCCCACCAGGGTGGACAGTTTCCTGTCTGAGCAGACCCCTGAGGCTGTGTGGACAGCCAGCTCCTTATATGTTCTGAAGGAAGCAGTGGCCAGAGTCCATTACAGTCTTTGAGGATGACCTAGTAGTAGTAGTATTTGTAGTACTGGGCAGTTAAACCTGGGCATCTGCCTCTAGCAACACCCTCAGCCCAGTTTTATTTTTATTTTTATTTTTATTTTTGAGGCAGGGTCTTTTGCAGAATCACTAAATTTCCCAGGCTGGGCTTGAACCTTTGATCCTCCTGCCCGCCAGTGTGCTGCCAGGCCTGGCATACAGTGGCTAATTATTTTCATGGTGAAGATAAAGAAGCAGGAAGTATCTTCTTTTCAGGGACCTGACAGAAAAGCAGCAAGCCAAAGAGGCGTGGGGTCTGGGGAAGATGGAGGGAGGAAGCGTAATACTGAGATGTGCTTGCCAGGATGTCCCGGCGTTTGCCCTGCTGAGAGTTCAAGTGAAGTGGCTGAAGGGAGCTGCAGGGGACTGGGGAGATCTGGTCAGCTTTCCTCAAGAGCTCCTTGGGCTTCCTGGGCCCAAGAGGCGCCACACCGCATGGTGGTCCGAGTTGCATAGCAGGGACCAAGCTGGCTCTGGGGAAGTAGGCCTGCAGTCCTGACAGGGCCCGGGCATGAGTGCCTGTTGGGGACCAGGTAATGTGGGGGTCACAGCAGGCAGGCACGTCCCTGAGGAAGCAGAGCAGGGTGGCCTGTCTGCATCTGCTCGGCACTGCCCGTCAAGCGACAGGGAGACCTAATGTGGGGCCGCTCAGCCTGAGCGAATGTGCAGGTCTCCGGAATGGCCATGTGGTCAGCACGAAAGCCCAGAGGAAGAGGAACAGGAGGACGGCGGTGAGGGAACCACAGGCCACGCGGGAAGGGCCTGTCCCTCACGGGGGGTGGCTGGGCTCCACGTCGGACAGGCAGAGCTCAAGGTGTGGTAAACAGGGACAGACAGAGGAGAGGGACAGACAGAACACACAGCCTGAAGGCAGGGGTCGGAGGGGAGCTGGTGGACATGGCCCGCCCTACTCCTCCTCCATGAGCGGCAGGTGCCATAGCAGTCACGACAGCTTGGCCTCTAACTTGTCACAGAGCACCAGTGTGTTAGGGTTGGGAGGGGATTTGAAACAAGAACTGTGAAATAATTCTGTTTCTTTTTCAAATCTTGGGTACAGGTTGAATCATTCTTCCTATAGGATCCGCCACTCCCCTTACTGTGGTCTTCTGTGTTATATCCCCAGTCCTTTCTTATTTTGAGATAGAGTCTCTCTTAGTGACCCAGGCAGAGCTCCAACTTGTGAAGCTCCTGCCCCAGCCTCCCCCAGTGGTGGTATTACAGACATGTGCTACCTCAGCTTCCTTTCCCTCTTGCACTTACATATGAGGGCTAGAATCAGGCTCTGTGGGGGGTATTGAAAATGCATCCCGGCTCTCACTGAGCCTCGTGGGCACTGAAAAGACTGCTCACCCCCGGTGGCTAACCGCAGGAGAACAGTTCTGTGGCATTTGCAGTTGGGATCTTGCTTTGTTTATAGACCCACAGGCTTCAAGGGGGAAGGGAATGAACTCCATTTGGTCCAATACATTTGATGCCTGCGCCATCCAAGGTCCCCCAAGCAGTAGCAGAACTGGGGCAGTGGCCTGGGCCTTCCCAGTCCAGCTGTGCCCCGCTGCTGCCTCCCACTCTGATGGGGCAGAGGCTCTGGCTCCACCCTGTCTCGTTCCTTGCTGGGGACCTAGGCCAGCCCGCTCTCCCCCAGGTAGAGCCCAGGTTTAGTAAGAGGGTCACCGGGTCACTAACTCCTCGTCATGGTACCCACTACATCTGTGTGTCTACACAGAGGGTCACGCGACAAGCAGGGGACACGTACACTCAGTGAGTGACAGAGACACCAGCTTCCAGGGTGCTGCCCACTGATGCCGGAGACAAACTCGCGATGAGAGGCTTCGCCTGTGGCCTCTGCCAGGATTCTGGGCATTTAAGGAAACAGATTCTTCCCTCTCTCTCTTTCTTTCAACCACCCCCACCCCCATCCACCTAGAGCTCCGGCATGAGACTGGCTAATTAGGACAAATTACAGCAGGTGGCAACTTGACTTTTTTTTTTTTTTTAACTTCACAATCCACCAGGGACTAAAAAAAGCTTTAAAGCAATTTCTCATTTAATCTTCAGACTCAAGACTAAATTTCACTGCAATCAAAAAGCACAGATTTGATGATTCATTTCCTTCACGCCTCTCAAGGTTTAATATCTCTCTTGAAAGGGATCAACACACCCTAACAATAATTAAGCAACTGTCACCAAGTGGCAAGCATCCCCCACTTCTCTGCCCTGCTCTCCCTGTGTGCTGGGGAAGGTGAGAAACACGTTTCCTTTTCTGGGGATGAAATTCCATACCCCGAAGCTCTCTTGCTCACCCATAAGCTTGGAAAGAGGCAAACCAACTTCTAAGGATGGTCAGAAATGGTTTAATCCACTTCCTACTGTGTAAAAAGGTCTGAAAATGTGAGCTACCCGCCCCCCACCCCAAGTTTCTTTTTCTCGATCTTACCAGCCTATGATTTTTACCCATCGAGTGCCTCCTGGGCCATCCCACAGCCACTCCAGATGGCTGCTCTTGGTGCAGCCCTCCCTTTGGTGCTCTGCACAAGGTTGAGAATGAGGACTCAAACTTTGGCAGCTCAGAGCACAAAGAGAGAAGCTGGTAAGACACAGAGCCTTTGGCCCCAGCACCTGAATTTCAATGCATGATGTGCTGCGGTTTGCGTGTACCTTCCAATGCCCGAGCTGAAATGCAAGTGTGAAGGTGTTAAGGAGTGCAGGGTTCTAGAGGTGATAGGATCTCAGGGGTCCCGCCTTCTGCGGCTCATTTACTGTTGTAGAAATGATTTAGTTATAAGAGGCGAGATCCCTGCAGTTAGAGCCCTGCATGGCCGCTGCTGCCATGGTTGGGTGCTGCACCAAGGACCTTGCCAGGTGTCACTGTCATGACTGTGGACCTCCTGGGCTCTAGAATTGTGAGCCAGATGAGCCCGTGTTGCTCACAGTGCACTCAGCCTGTGGGATGCTGGAGAGCAGTAGAGAGTGAGCTGGGGTGATGGCCATGAGGTGTGGCCCAGAAATCTATGTTTCCCACACACTTGATGTGGGCGCTGTGGGGCTGCAGCCCGCTCTTGGGATCTCCCATCTAGCAAGCTGGGAGAGGAGGCGGGCCGACTGGGCACCAGGACCATGCGAAGTGCTGAGTAGAGGATGTGTGATCTGTCCTCGAGAGGCTCAGTGCGTACCTTTGGTCCAGGTGACCCATCTCGTTAACACCCCCTTCCATCCTCAAATGCATCCCAGACTAGATGTAAACTGCAGGGCCACCCCCTTGTTCCTGAGCTCACCTGGTCCCCACCAAGTTTCCCGGGCAGGTGTCACTGCCCCGTTTTGCTGAGGAGGCATCGAGGCACAGGTGGGTTACGCACACTTGCCTGGCTGCAAGGGCACACAGTCTGGGTGCAACAGGACTAAGTGCGCTTTGAGCTTAGCTTGTGCTAGGACGGTGAGGCCTCTGTGCCTCATCCTACCCCTCTTCTGGGAATTAAGGGTGAGGCTGGGCCATGGGGCTCAGAGGCTGCTGCCTGCCATTCTTAACCATTTCACAGGGGCCCTAACTTTACGAGGACAGGCAACAGCGAAGTAGGAAAGGCCAAGGAGGCTGGGATTGGAGAGCAGAGGTCACCAGCTGTACAAGTCCCTCAGGAGCCAGGGAGTGAGGAAAGAGAGCACCCGAGTGTGCCGCAGTGAGGTTTGGCCTCTTGTGAACTGCACACAAAGAAAACAGGGTCGTTTCTGCACTGGAAGGGACACCAGCAATGCCCAGGCTGGAGGTGCTCATGTGGACTCGCTCGGGGAATACGAGTGGCTGAGTAGCCGCAGCTCCATCTCACCTGCACGGAGACTTTCAAAAGGGAGCGAGTGGGGAGCACATTAGGTGAGCGCCTCACGTATGGAGAGCCCCATCCCCCTTCTGCTGTGCTTCCGCCTTCAAATCCCATTGTCCTCTGTGTCAATCCTTTAGCAGGCACTAAGGACTCTGCCCACAGGGAAATGCCTCCCTACGTTCTGAGCAGGATCGTGATGTTCCTCTGGGGCCGCTGAATTGAGCTCCCCTGGAAGTGCCAGAGAAGGGAGAAGCCTAAGCATGGTCACAGGCAGCCCGAGTCTCAAGGGAACCCGGATTTCCTCTCTGCGCCTTTCCCTGTCCGCAGTGACCGCTGGGATTGTGTGTGCACAACCACAACCCACCATGCAGCACACAGACGCTTAAGACACAGAGCAGCAGATGCCAAGTCCTGGTGCAGAGTGAACCTGGAATAACCTAGCAACCCTCTTCCAGCACTGTCAGCCAGCTACCAAAGAACCAAGAGCCGCTATATGCAGTCACCTCAGAGAGACAACCAAGGCATCTCAAACAGACATTCCTCCGTTCCCTCGGTTCTCCCTTCCCCTGCAGGGACGTGAAATGTCTATGTTGTCCTTCCTCTACTAAGATGAGGGATAACAACCAGCCTTTGTGTGTGTGTGTGTGTGTGTGTGTGTGTGTGTGTGCGCGTGCTATGGGGACGCATGTGTGAAGTGTAAGCAGACCTTTGTGGAACACTGGGGACCAAACGGAAGTTTCGTCAGCTGAGACACGGAGCTGTCCTACCTTGGGGGAGGGGAAGGTGCACTTGAGCTTCCGGGGCACTCTCTCATGGGCCATTTCGGTCCACTCTGCCATCGTGTCATCACGGTAAGCCAGGGAGACATCCATGGACACTTCTGCATTTTCTCCTGCAAGGGAAAGGGTGCGCAACTCAGAAAGGGCTTTGGGAAGATACCCTGGAAATGGTTCAAAAATGCTTAAAGGCTCTGCCAGAGAAAGCAGCAAGACAAAAGTGGTACATTAGTTCTTAATCAAGCTGTAGCCTTGAACACATAAAAACTATAGGATGAAAATTTGTGATATTAGGTTCCTTCCCTCAGCCAATCTACCAGAGTAAGGTATTCCACTTAAACTCCTCCAGAGACAAGGGCCTCACTCGCTCCGAGGCAGCTCGAAAGGCCTGGTTCTGCATCAGGGTGAGAATCAAACCTCCCGGAACTCGCCCTCTGGTCCTAGATCTGCCAGTAGGAGCCACATAGAAGGTGAGATCTTTCCTCCACAAAAAGTGCCTGAGGCAGTTAAAAGACACAACTCATCTGCTTGTGTTTTCTCTTCTTTCTCATTAACATGACCAAGTTCTGTGATTTAGATATGGTGTGAGTGTGTCTCCCAAAAGTTCTCATGCTGGGAGTTCGGTTCCCAGTGGGTTCCTGTTTCAGGTGGCGGGAGCTTTAATGAATGGATGAGGGCTGGTCTTGCCGAGCGGGTTAGCCCTCCCAGGAGCGAGTGAGTTCTCAAAAAGAGGAGGTTATAGGAAGAGAGCACAGCCTCTCCACAGCCTCTCCTTTTTTCTCCCACCCCTCCTGCCATGATGCCGTCCACCATGTTGTGATGGAGCCAGAGCCCTCACCAGAGGCTCGAATAATGGGGCTGCCTGATCCTGCACTGACAGCCTCCGACACTGTGAGCTACTGTGACCTCTTTATTTGTCATGGCGCTAGAAAATGCTCTGAGACACCACTCAGATGTGATGCTGGTGCTGCTGGCCTAAAAGCTTCTTTCTTGAAACCATAAGGAGACCCTCAAACAGGATCTGCTACTACGCTATAACTCCAAGCCCCTTCTTCAGATTGTGGACAAGGCTGACGCAAAGGCAAAGGGCTTTTCAAAAATTATGGATTTATGCATAGATAGAAATATAATAAAAAGCATATAATTATACAAATAGTGTTCATACTATTTCCACATCAATAAAGTCCATACACTCATGTCTCCTCGTTAAGGACATTAGGTTAATACAAATGTCATCTGATGTGTCTATTTTATACTATACTGAGCAAGTTCAGGAAGAGAAAGGCTTTAAACAAAACAAACAACACAAATCATGCTTCCAAAGCGACTGGAAAGCAGCCACCACTGGGTCACGTCTAGGCTTGGACTCTTCTTTCTTCAGTACGTGTCCACACCCTGCAAAGGGTCAGGTTCATGGGGGGCCTGCGTGCTGCCCCAGACACAGTAGGTGCTTAATAAATGTTTACTGAACTGGAACACACCAGAACAGATAACAATGTTTGCTATCAGGAAAGTTAGGGCTTTTCTATGCACTGGTCTAGTGTGGCCTGAGGCTGGTTTATTTCAACAATTGTAAAAAAATAGATGAAGTAGGGTTTCCAGACAGCACATCCTAAACTGCCACAGAGGGAATGTTCTGGAAAAAGGAGCCCCAAGTGGCTCCAGGCCTGCACACGGCTGGGCCCTCAGTCCTGCTGCACCTTCCCGTGTCTGCAGAGTCACGCAGAGACTAAACTCGAGGCCGTGCGGCCATGCGGGTCTCAGCCCCAGGGAGCATAAGAGTCTGTCTGTGATGACCCCAACTGGGCAGAAGCTCGGCCTCCCCTTGGCTAGGGCACAGGCTGTTCTGCCGCTCCCTGCTTGGCAGCCGCTGTGGTCAATAAGAACTGACCACAGTGTCCACCTGTGGGTCAGATATCAGGACGGGGATCCTTTTCACCTCCAGCAGGATCGGGAACTGGGATTTCAGCGGTGTTGAAGGACACAGGAGACGCACTGTACTCAAGAAATCGAAGCCCCAAAGCGGTAGACATTATCGGCCCACGTGGGGAGTGGTTCATGCGTGGTGCTCTGTGGAGCCCTGGCCTCGCTAGGAACAGCACTGGTCTTCCACTTGTTCTAGGGTCCTGCTGTCTCTGGCCGTCTTCATGTGCTCCCTCCATCCCCGAACAGAAGACCCCAAGGTGAGGGGATGGGAACTTGGAGCCCCGAATCCTCTGTGCAGACAGCTCTGAGCCTGCTTCCAAGGCCTGTGAGGCCTCTTTCCCAGATGTGGGAACTCAGAAACTCAACAGCTCCTTGGTTGGTCCATTAGTTGGTCAGGAGAGATCCAGAGGCTGCTGTCCATAGGAAGACATGACCAGACCTTGAGCTTGGAGGCCAGGGTGTCCACACACAGGCAACCAGGCACCTCCCTGTGAGGGATGGAGCCAGCAACAGGAAGAAAAATAGTCTTGAGCCCCACACTTCCTGGTCAGTCACATTTTCGCACAGAATCTCAAAGATGCCAAGAATCCTAAATTCAAACCTGGCCTTCCAGACCATTAAGAAGCTTAATGTGAGATAACTGGAAAATGGAACAGACATGGCCTAACAGCTTGTTGACCTCATTTATCACTTTTAAATACACAGACATATGGTAGGTGTGTCTTCGCTGGTACTCTTGCCCCGGGCCCCACAAATCCTAGGGGTGAGCCTGGTTCAAACAGGTGCCTCAGGGAGAGGGGGCCAGAGAGCTTGGCCACTGGTCTGGTCCCAGCTTCCATAGTAGCTCTAATCTATTGAGGATCCAAAAGGGGAAAATGAGCAAAAGTGTTAGACTCTACTGTAACACACAGTCGCTCCGTATGATGAAGCCCCAGTGGCTTCTGGGATTTCATTTAACTCACCTGAGTTAATTTCTCAGCCATTCTATGTCCTTTTGATTAACTCATGAAGTGAGGTTCTCACGTGTTTAGTAACTCACAGAAAGTGACCTTGTCAGCAAGATGAAGGAAAGGAACGTTTTGAAACTGCCTTAAAGCACAACCATCGGTCATCTCAGGCACCCATTTCTTTCTATTTTTTATGGCAAGAGTAGCTACGGTCACTAATTTTTTAATTATCATTAACTTGCTTTACCTCTTTACAGCTTCATGAGGGATACACTAAATATACCCAATAAAGTTTATTTTAAAAAAGTGTATGACCATCTTTTTCATATCATTCAAAGAAAACTATTCACCTTGTGATGAAAGCAGCTCCTCAAACTGGTCACAAAATATGATATTTTAAGTCTGTGATGAGAACCACAGCTGTGCCCTGTTAGAGAAATGGCCAAGAACCCGCAGCTAGTCCTGGAAGAAGTGGGACCTAGGACCATCCAGGACTCCACTGCCCTCGGAGACCTTTGTTGATAGGAACTGGAAAGAAATAGCAGCTGCATGAAAAGGCCTTCATCAAAGCTGCTCAGCTCCCACCTGATGTCTGTTTCCTGAGCTGTGTTGTTGGGACATGCTAGCAAGGGTCCTTGTGTCCTGACTCCTGCAATTTGGGCTTTGAGAGAGGAGCAGCTGACACCAACACAGGCCTCTCCACGAAGGCCAGGAGAATGGCCGTTCTTGTCACTCGGTGTGAGGAGGCACCATGCCGCAGGCCATGAGGGCAGGGGTTTGAGTGTGGCTCTGCCCCAAACACAGATGTGGTTACAGGCAGGCTGGGCTGGGCTGGGCTGGGCTGGGCTGAGAAGCGGGCCTTGTCTGTAATGGCCAACATAATGTCCCACAGTATGCCAACACAATGTCCTACAACTCGGACTTCCCAGTGTTTAAAAGAGAAGCCAGAAATTCAGATTATTACAAGAGGTCTTTCAGTTTTACAATGTCAATAACTGAAAGCCAAACCAGACCTTTGGGGCAGGCCCGCTGCAGTATCAGGAGACTTCTGAGTCACTCTGAGGAGGAGATACCAAATCACTTCACGGTGGCCACCACATCCCCATCTTTTTCTTATTTCCCCCTCAGATCGACCTCCCTCTAGGACTGTCTGTGATTTTTCACCGAATTTATAGCACATTCTGTCTCATCCTTACTCATCACCTATCTAGTCCTGAGCAGCATGGATAAAGGTCCTGCCATTTCTGGAGAGGAAGTTTGGATGCCAGAACTCAAAGCCCAAACGCTGGGACACTCTCACTCTGTGTCCTGATGGTGGCCTCAGAGCATTGTTGCTGCCTTTCATGGTGTACATAAAACCAGAAGAACAGGAAGGCCCTCCTGTCCCCTGGTTGTGCAGTATCATCCCTGGATGGGCGCCTGGGTTCCTTACCTGCTAGAACAAGAGTTATCTCGTAGGATTTTGTGATCACTAAATTAGTTGCTACATGAAAAACACTTAGGTTTCCGGTACCGGAGAAAAACCAAAAAAAAAAAAAAAAGAAAAACACTTAGAACAGGGCAGAAAGCAGCCAAGGTAGCTAGTGTGGCTGTCATCAGGTTAGTTGGTGAAATTCTGATACCACTTGTTATGGTTCCTATCCAGATGTGCCTCCTGTGCTCACAGGTGGGGCTTTGAGGAGGTGACTGGATGATGGTGTCTCATAGTTGACTTGCTGTTAGGAAGTGGGCCCTGCTCAGAAGGGGTGGTCATGGAGGGTGTGGCTTAGGAGGGCTCCACCCTCTCTCTGCTTCCTGTGCACCGTGCTGTGAGCAGCTTTCTTCCACCAGGCCCCTCTGCCATGCTGCCCTGCCTTGGAGCCAGCCAACTATGGACTGAACCTCTCTAAACTGTGAGCCAAATTAAACCTCTCTTCCTTAAGTTGTGGGTGTTGGATGTTGTGTCCTGGTGATGAGCAAGTAAGACACTACCTTTCTATCAAAATACCCGCCAGCATTCAGCATCACAGAGCTTTCCTCTGTGAATCCCCAAACCAGACCTGGAGCACAAAGCTCAGGATCAGGAAGGCGCTGGGCAGAGGAACCCAGCAGAGCTGTGCAATTGGCCCCCTGGGTCCCTTGGAAGTGAGGAAGGGGACTCTTGGCCTGACTAACAATTGGCCTCTTTTCTCTGTGGAACATGGTACTAGGCCACCAGGATGGTGTAGGAGCACAAAGTTGGGGGCAAACAGAGCTCATCTTGA